TTGGGGTCCGGGGGGGGGGGGGGGAGAGATGCAGTTCACGTACAGTAAGTAGAGATTTAGCAGGTTAATTCTCTGAACTGAATAATCTCCATCTCTCACAAACCATCAAATGAACCTGCAGATGTTCCATCCACCAGGCCAGGGCCGTCCTTAGCCATAGGCAGAATAGGCAGTTGCCTAGAGCACCAGTATTTCTGGGGCACCACTTTGCCGTGACGGACAGGAAGCAGTGAGGCATGTGTAAGCAGGGGCTAAACTACTGCTTGCTATCAGCCAGCTAAAAGGAGAAAGCTGCCCTGTGGGTGGGTGTGCTCACTCCAATTGTTTAGCTCTGGAAGATAATTAACTGTTAACTGTTGATATGTAAATACAGCTCATGGCAGGAGGGGGAACGAATCCAAGGTGTGGTTATGTAAATCCAATTCATTTAGGGCTGATGGAGGATCAGTGTTGGAATGGAATGTGGTGTATTGTAACTAATTTGGGGCTGTTGTGGGGGTCACAAATTATGCCACCCCTAAATGTGGGAACTGTAAAATATGACACCAGTGCTTGCAGGAGACACACCATCATTGTAAGAGGTCTCAGAGGAACAAGCCTCCTCCCTGCCAGAGTTGAGTGAACTGAGTTGGGGGGGGAGGGGAGGGGAGGGGAGGGGCTGAGTCAGCCTGCTTCATGCCTGCCAGGTGTGCGCTGTAAGACTGGCTCAACCTACTCCATTACCCCTGGTTTTAAGGACAGACCTAAAGCATACTCTATGAGGAGTCTTTTTGCTAGTCCAGTGGAAGCTGGAATCTTTTGCCAGCCTAGGTGGTGGCTAAAGAGTTGAAATCACTAAGAGCTGAAATCACTGGTTTATCAGGGAGCCAGACCCATTGCAGACAGTGGAGCAGCTGGTGGGAGCAGCCAGCAGACTACAGGAGCAGCACAAAGGTGGCCTAGCCTCAGGCTCAAGGAGGGGAGTCATCCGGATGATGTGTCAGATTCTGCACGGACTGGACAGAACTGTAAGTGGGGCATTTGAAGTGGGGTACAGAGAAAGTTTGGGTAAATGAACTCTGTTGTGGTATTTTCCCAATATAATGCCATATGACTTCTCTCTTTCATTAAAAGTTTCACTCAGACTCTGTGCTTGCGAGTGGGGAAGCACTGCCTCTCGGAGGCGCCCAGGGGTGTGTGAATTTCCCAGGCTACTGGGTGGGGGCTTGAGCTGGTTCTGTGTGAGATGGACCCCTAGATATTGAACCCGGCCCTGGTTGCTGCCGGGTCTACACAGTGGAAGGGTTACACATGTAACAGCAGGGCTGGGTCCTAGAGAGGGCCAAATGTGCTGCCTGCAGCACAGTCTGAGGGAGGGGATTGGCTGCTGGGGGCTCTGGGAAGGGGAAGAGGTAGGGGTGGAAGAGCAAGTCAGGCATAGGGGCACCAGTTTAATAATCCCACCTAGGGTACCACAAATCCTAAGGATGGCCCTGTACTGGGCATGCACATCCTGGGGCTCCAGAGACTGAACAAGATTTTCCCTAAAATAGTTTTTTGCTGAAAATCCATTTTTTTCAGTCCTACAAAACCCATCATGGTTTGGACACAAACTCAGAGAAGTTTGGGCCCAATTTATTTTTCAAGCCAAAGATTCCCATTCACAAAATGGCCAAAGGAAGAGGAGAGACACGTATTCTTCAAAAAGAGTATATGAATATTACTTTTTGTAGCGGTGCTGGTCATAGATATCAGAGAGACAGGATGGCTGATATCTTATTGGTCTAACATTTATTGGTGAAAAGGACTTTCACCCACCTTGTCTCTCTTCTGTTTGTACAGGTCAAACTATATTCTACTTTAAACACAAGAGTCAAAAGACATTGTCAAGAACTTAAACTGCAACATTATAAATTATACAGTAAATAATTCAAGTTATTGTTAAAATATTAAAATGTAGCAATTTTAAACAAAAATATTTAACTTCTACTTGTATTTTTAATACACAGAAGAAAAATATAAATACACAAAACATATACCTCTCCAAGAGCTTCATAGCGCTTTTGGTTCCATCTATGTAAATCTTCACGGTAGTTAAAAACGAATGGCTCTCCAGTTTTTATATGCCTTAATTGCCCCTCTATAAAATAAACAATATTATATTTAAATGCACATTTTAAGAGTTTTAAAAGCAGGGGTAACAATTCACTGTTAAAAACAAAAGACTAAGTTCATATGGAAGCAAAACCATGTTCTTTCATATACCACATTTTTTTTTCCTTCCCAATTACAATATAGGGCACTTAAACCAAAACAGACTGCGTCAAGACCACCATCACTTGATTTAGAGGTGAACGCAGAGTACAAAAGATGACATACTGAACTTTAGGTGAAAATTTCCAGAGCCCTGCCGGATACAAAAGTGGTATCCCCATCTGAAAAAATGATCCATGGATATCTGCAGATTTACAGAGCACTATAAATTTCAGCCGGTCAGCCTCGTGTGTAACTAATATTTGTGTCCTAAAAGTATGCTATAAATGAAGAATTAGCAGCTGAATAGCTAACCATCTGATCTGTACCAATCAACCTGGTAATTAGATACCAACTATCAACCATTTGTACTCAATTAAATTGCACATGCAGGAAGTGTGAAAGGTACATCGTAATACAAAGTTTTTTAAAATTAAACTCTTAATTTCTAAAATAGTTTGTTATATAAATGTAATGCCTTAGCACCCCAATGCAATCAAGCAGGGGACCTTAGTTCAAGACACACTTTGAAACTCTTGCACCTTGAGTTAACAATAGAAAAATGATGCAGTATGTCCAATAAGAATACCCATAACACAGCAATTTATTTTGCATAGCAACATTACAGTCTCTTAGCTTCACAGCTAAAGAACATTAGCACATCCAAATACCGATGAAGGAAAGGCCTAGAGTGGAGATGACTGAGGAATAAAATGGCAGTCCACAAGGAAGTATACTTCTCCCTACTCCAGTCTACCATGTATTTTACCAGTTATATCAATTGAAGCATCAAAATAAAATGTTATGGTCACAAAAGGTGATACAAAGTGATTAAAAACTAATATCTAAGCATATTATCCTAAAATGTTGAAATGTCTGACTGGTAGAAACAATGGTTTATTAGCACGATTTTTCTTCCTCTGCAACATAAAGACAAAGACATTAGCTCAACTGACATTTCCTTGTGAATTCTAAGCTTTGATAAAGAATTCTGTGAATGCAAATGTTATTTAAAAGGAGTAAGATAAGTTCTGAAGACACCTGAAGCTTCAAACAAAATAGGCATGTAAGCAACTAGTCGACTAGCGTATAGGCATATGCCTATTGGATAGTCTACTAGTGACTCGACTAACTGCTCCCCACACCTTACTTGCTCTAAAGCCGGTTCCACCCTACCCCAGCACCATCTCTGAGGGGGGCAGAGGAAACAGAAGCATAGGAGGGACAAGGCACAAGATGGGTATCAGCTGTTTCCCAGCTCGTTCCTGGTCGTCCCCCCTCGCCGCACACTTGCTACGCTTCTGCTTTTTAAATGTATCAAGAGCCAGACTCTTGATATATTTAAAAGGCTAAAGCGCAGCAGGGGGGACCAGGCACAAGCCAGGAATCAGCTGTCCCTTCTTGCACCTGGTCCTCCCTGCAGCGCTTCAGCTTTTTAAATACATTAAAAGCCTGACGGCTCTTAATACATTTAAAAGGCAGAACAACAGCGGAATTAGCTCCCGGGGCCGGCAGCTAACCCCACTGCAGCTCCGCAGTTTCTCCCACTTATTGACTAGTCGATTCGTTGATTAAATACAATGTAACATCCCTAAAACAAAACATGTGATAGCTTTCTGCTGCCTTCAGTGTACTTACCTGTATACTTACTCATTTAATAACAGAAGATGTTTGACTCTCTCAGTCCTTCTATTACCTCAGTTTCAATATATTATTTTTTCCAATCACTAATCGCCAGGAAAGTGTTCCTTCCCAAGTTCACATCTAACATTTAAAGTTCCAATATCCCAGTCTTCACAGAACAATATAATCTGAGATGCCTAAATTTTTAAAATTCTAGTATACATTGTTCTTTTTTGCTAGTTATGATTCAGTATAGCTTATTTTAAAGTAGGTTACTGATGAAGTTTCTCTCTCCCTAAGAAAATCACAATCAATGTCAAGTAAGAACTGTAATTTATTTTCAAGTATTTCAAAAATCTGTGGAAAGCCCATCTTCTCAATTTTACAAGGCAAATAAAAGTTTATTTGTCCTTCATAAATAGAAGTATAGAGATTATATCAGAAATGTTCTACAGTGTATATACACATGTTAGAAATATCAGAAGCAAACATGTCCCTTTTTGATGATACCCTAACTAGAAGCATATGCTACAGTGTTTATTACTCCCTAAGGAAGTCATTCAGAGTATTATGTTAGTGATGGAACTTTTAATAATATAATGCTAAAACATCGCACCCCCTCCCATTCACATTTCAACCCTTCTCTTTAAGCAGCCACATGTGCACCATTAGCTCAAGTCAGTAGAGCAGGCAGACAATAGTAGAGGCTGCACATATCTTTAAAAAAAATCTGAGAAGTGACAGAGCTAACCCCTCCCATCAAAGAAAGAGCATCACTTTCATGACACTTTTAGTCTCTAAGTACCTTCCTTTGAAAGCCATCAGGGTATTAAAAAGCTAAGTGTTGCATAAATGACTATCATTTAAAGGAAAGCTCTTTTTTCCCCCCTTAAAAGTGGAAGTTGTAAAATAGACAGCATTAGAAACTAAAGTTCTCTATTCACAGAACAGACACTACATGGCATAAGAGTGTACACTTCCCAGTCTGCCTAAATACAGGTTTTAAACAATTTTGTAGGGACCCCTTTTGGGAATCTGGTATTTGTTCAGCCTCCATGCCTATTTAAACCAGCATTTATCATCTGAGATTGAGAATATGAGTACAAACTAGAGATGTTAAAAACCATTTAATTAAGTAACAATGTAACTGCTGAAAATTTCAAATTGTATCGAGTACATGATTAGTGAGTTACCCACATCTTAATATCCTTATGGGAGAGTCTAAGGGGATTGTCTGTGATTCCATGGTAAGAGTGGTATAGTGATTCAGGAGCTCTTATTTGTTTCTGGCTTGGTTCTATAAATAATTATAGACACATTAGCAGTTTGTGGTGTTTGCCTTGTTTTTGACAGTCTGCCCTGAAGCAGACACTCAGGCTATGTCTATACTGCAAGTCTCTTTTGAAAAAGAGCATCTAGACTATAACCAGTACTTTCGAAAAAGCAAGCCGCTTTTTCGAAAGAGAGCACCCAGGCATTCTGGATGTTCTCTTTCAAAAAAGCAGTTTGCATTACATAGTGTTCTTTCAAAAAAATGCGCTTTCGAAAAAAGGCGTTCCTCCTCGTAAAATGAGGTTTTCCGCGGTTAAAAAAAACTGCCGCGTTCTTTCGATTCACTTTCAAAAACACAGCAGCAGTCTAGATGCAGGGGAAGATTTTTCCAAAAAAGGCCACTTTAAAAAAAAAACAACAAAAAAAACCCCTGTAATCTAGATACACCCTCATGGTCATGACCCATTCTAGGCAGCGTAACAGTTATCTTTAAGGATAAAATTTTACTGCTTTAAACTGAAATTCTAGCAAGGCTTCACAAGGTATAAACCATGTTCTAATAATCCATTCCTATACAATTTATAAGCGGAATCTTCACAAAGTATATTCTACTTACGTTCATTAAATGCATATTCAAATCCTTCAAGAGTATCAGGAAACTCAAGTGGCGGCTCATCTTTTTTCATCAGTTCATCCAAATCTATCCTAGACAATAAATCTAAAAAGGAAAAGTACATCATAGTATGCCTGGTTTATTTTAGCAAGCATATTGGATAATATTTTATGTAATGCTTGGTTAGTGTTGGTGTAATTAACTGTGTCCAGTTCTCTCTTTTAGAAAGATCCCATTGGACTATTTATTTTCCACTCCTAAGGACATTTTGTAGAGTTCCACAAGGCTCAACACCTGTCTGTGCCTAGATGGTGGTATCTTAACTGTAAGACCGTTAGAGAAGACTAGGAGATGGTTTTGAAAATAATATCCCCAACAACTCATCTCTCTCTCTCTTTTACCCCAGATCTGGATAATTCAATCTCAGGGGACTTTTTTTTTTGCTCAGGTGAGGTCAGAAATTATATTGGTTGGTAAAGTCTTTGAAAAATTTGGCACAAGTTGTTTCCTTATACAGAGGAAAGGTTGGAGAGAAAGGAGGAGAGCTCCTTCATCAAAGGATTTTTGTTGTGTATTTTAAAATCCTTCTGCTACAGCGTCACTTTGTAGCATTGTCCAAGAGAGCTTTCTTCCAACAGTATTTGGCTGGGAGGTTATGCCCATTTCTATCAGAACTGAATACATCACAGTTCTCATACTTCTGTAATATGCTCTAGTTGGAGTTATTCTTATGGTCCACACAGATTCAGTAAGGGCAGAAAAATACAGACCAATGACCAGTATAGGCCAGGTGGAGCGCATTACATTTGTTCCACATTCAGAATTAGCTTTCTATTGGTGGCATGTGAAATTCAAACTCATAATATAGTTAGTCCCACCTGGGCTGGGTTCTTGCCATCTAGCTGACCACCTTCTAGTTAGGTATCCTAAGATTAGATGAAGTACTACTGTTAAATGTCCTTAGATGTAAGCTTTTGGGAGCTTTGCTTAATCATTCATTTCTTACAACTAAGAAATTCTAGCAAGACTTTACGAAGTATAATTCAGGTTCTAATTTGTTATTATATAATTTCTAAGTAGAACCTTCATGAAGCTCATTCAACTTACTTTCATTGAAGGCATATTCAAATCATTGAAGTGTGCTGGGAAACTCAAGTAGTAGAGGGCCTTAACTTGAACTCATCTCCATGTTGGTTCACTAGAGTTTAGGTTCGATGGATAGCAGGAGATGGGCTAAGACTTAATACAGTACAAGCTTTGTTATCTGGCACTTTATTATTCAGGAAACTGTTAATCAGCATTTGTCATAAATGGCAATAAAATTTCCCCTTCAGTTAATTGTAAAAATTCCAATAGCCATCCAGCATCATTTTCCAGTGCTTGAGTAAGCCACATTTATAAACTTGCGACAGTAAATGCCTTTCTTGTCCTAACTCTGAGTACAGTACTGTATAATACAGTGCCATCATTGGATATTATCCGATATATCCTGCAGCAGTGGCTAACAATACACCAGCAACAGGCAAAAGCAGAGAAGAAAATGTGTTGTTCTGGCTATAACCCAGAAATTGGACCTAATTAGTTGCCTTGAAAGAGGAGAAAACAGGAGCCAACTGATGCAAGAATTTTGCGTTAACAATCTATGGTATTACAGTGCAGAAGGCAGACCTGATGAAATTAGCATTAAGTGCTAAGCAATTGAGAAACTCCATAGTTTGCACAAATCAAAATTGGAGCAATTAGATAACATACGCTATGAATGGTTTTCCTTGAAGAGTTCTGAGGGAACTCCAATTTCCAGCTCAATGTTGATTGAAAAGGCAAAGAACTTATATCAACAAATGGAAATGACGAAGACCTGCATTCTTCTGATGGCTCTTTGGCATGCTTTAAGATGCGACATGGTATCAGAAGGCTTGATGTCTCTGGAGAGAAACAGTCTGCTGATCATGAGGCCGCAGAAAGACACCGAGGCTATGTCTACACTACGAGTTTTTTAGGCAGAAAATATGCTAATGAGGGACTCATTAGCATGAGTTGTGACATGATTAGCATATTTTCTGCCGTTTCTTTTTGCGCAAGGGGTTTTTGCACAAAAAGCAGTGTGGATGTTTTCTTTTTGCAAAAAGAAGCAACAGGGGGGCAAATAGCTCAGTGGTTTGAGCATTGGCCTGCTAAACCCAGGGTTGTGAGTTCAATGCTTGAGGGGACCATTTAGGTCCCGTGAGGGCAGGGGACTGGACTTGATAACCTCTCAAAGTCCCTTCCAGCTCTATGAGATATGTATATTTCCATATACTAAAATATGCTAATGATGTCAACTCATGATATTTCCATATATTAAAATACGCTAATGATGTCACAACTCATGATAATGAGTCCCTCATTAGCATATTTTCTACTGAAAAAACTCGTAGTGTAGACATAGCCTGAGTATTTTTTAAGAAGCTGGCTGGGGAGCATGGTGTAACCCCAGAGAATATCTACAATGTTTCGCAAAGGGAAAGTTGTGCCTGACCAATCTGATTAGCTTCTATGAGGTGGTAACTGGCTCTGTGGACATGGGAAAGTCAGTGGATGTGATATATCTTGACTTTAGCAATGTTTTTTATATGGTCTCCCACAATATTCTTGCCAGCAAGTTAAGGGTATGTGGATTGGCTAAATGGATGGTAAGATGGACAGAAAGCTGGCTAGAAGGCCGAGCTCAGCGGGTGGTGATCAATGGCTCCATGTCAGGATGGTGGTCAGTTTCTAGCAGAGTGCCCCACGCTTCAGTTCTAGGACCAGTTTTGTTCAATATCTTTATTAATGACCTGGATGAGGGGATGCATTGCACCCTCAGCAAGTTTGCAGATGACACGAAGCTATGGGGAGAGGGAGATACGCTTGAGGGCACAGATAGGGTCCTGCACTTGGGACGGAAGAATCCCAAGTATCGTTACAGGCTGGGGACCAACCAGCTAAGTAGTAGTTCTGCAGAAAAGGACCTGGGAGTGAATGAGAAGCTGGATATGAGTCAACAGTATGCCCTTGTAGCCAAGAAGGCTAATGGCATATTAGGGTGCATTAGTAGAAGCACTGCTAGCAGATCCAGAGAAGTGATTATTCCCCTTTATTCGGCTCTGGTGAGGCTACATCTGGAGTATTGTGTCCAGTTCTGGGCCCCCCACTACAAAAAGGATGTGGACGTATTGGAGAGGGTCCAGCGGAAGGCAACCAAAATGATTGGGGGCTGAAGCATATGACCTATGAGGAGAGGCTGAGGGAGTTGGGCCTAATCAGTCTTCAAAAGCAAAGATTAAGAGGGGGATTTGATAGTAGCCTTCAACTTCCTGAAGGGAGGTTCCAAAGAGGATGGAGAGAGGCTGTTCTCAGTAGTGACAGATGGCAGAACAAGGAGCAATGGTCTCAAGTTGTGGTGGGAGAGGTCCAGGTTGAATATTAGGAAAAACTATTTCACTAGGAGAGTGGTGAAGCACTGGAATGGGTTACCTAGGAAAGTAGTGGAGTCTCCATCCTTAGTGGTGTTTAAGTTTCGGCTTGACAAAGCTCTGGCTGGGTTGATTTAGTTGGGATTGGTCCTGCCTAGAGCAGGGGGCTGGACTTGACCTTCTGAGGTCTCTTCCAGCTCTATGGTTCTATGAATCTGATAAAATGCTTATTAAATGGAACTTTTTTGGTATTGCCTGTCATCTTCAACCTTTGTCGGTACAGGTGAGGTTGGTGTGCCTGGATTTAAGAGGAACATCATTCCACTTACATGTGCAAATACTGCTGACACAAAATCAAGTTGCTACTGGTTTCAAAATTCAAGCAGCCAAAAGCATTCAAGGGTATTGTCCATCTGCCAATGGAGTACAAGGCACAGCCTAATGAGTATATGGACAAGTTTATATTTTTGTATTGGTTCCACCATATCTTTGTTCCCGCTGTAAAAGATCACCTGAAAGAATGTGGTGTGCCAGTTATCTGGTTTTAGATAACTGTTGAGCTCACCCTTCTAACACAAAGCAGTATTTTCAAGGAACACTTACTCAGCCAACAGATCAATTATTCAAAATCTAAAAGTCATCTACAGAAGGGATTTTTTGAGGAAATGGTTCAACTTTCAAAGGAGCAATCCAAGATTTTCACTTACAGTACAGCATCAAGAATGCAGTCTTCAATGCAACATGTTCCTAGTCTGTTATCAAGTCTACAACTTTAAAGAGCATGCAGAAAATTGTGGGTGGAAGTGATATTTGTGAAGGGGACCTCTGATGAAGAAGCATTTCAAGGCTTCAATATAAGACCAAAAAGGAGAGTGCTACTGGAAATAATTCACAGAATCATAGAACACTAGAACCGGAAGGGACCCAGAGAGATCATCAAGTCCAGTCCCCTGCCCTCACAAACAGGACCAAGCACCATCTAGATCAGGGGTCAACAACTTATGGCTCACAAGCCATAAATAGCTCACTTTGGAACCAAAAATGACTTGTAGCTTCAGCTTAGCTCCCCTTGGTCTCCCCTCACCCACAATTGGGAGCCCATGCTGGTGCGACAGCCTCATGCACCCCACAACATTGGAACCAGCACCAGCTTTCTGCAGAAGGGATGGGGAGTGGGAAGCCCCAATGCTCCACGCCAGATGTGGCTTGCAGTGAAGCGTGTGCTGCTCTTCCCCTTCCCACAGCAACATGCACACTTCCTTATCCTCCCTGCCTTCCCCCCGTGCTCCATGGAGGTGGGACAAAGGAGCTGTGTGGCCTCCCCCTGCCTGAGAGCGCACTTGGCTGTGCTGGATGTGGTGGTGAAGCACATTATGCATGTAGGCGCCAGGTGGTAGGAGTGGCAGCTAAGATGGTGGTGGAGGAGCCGGGCTTTGGGGATGAGGAATATCTGGATTTCCTAAAGGAACAGCTTGTGCGCTTCTTCTAGCACTGTCTATAGATCCTGCTCCCTCCCCTCTGGCCAGACACCCACCCACACCCTGCTCCTCCACAGACACATAGCAACACTCTGCTCCCACCCCCACCCTGACACCAACCAGCACCCTGCTCCTGCCCCCTGTCCTCCTGGCCAGACACCTATCACCAGCTTGCTCCTGCACCCTGCCTTCACATTCTGTATGTGTAAAACTGATTGTTCCTTCCTAAGTGGCAAACTTTTCATTTGTCCTTATTAAACTTCATCCTATTTACTTGACCATTTCTCCAGTTTGCCCATTTTGAATTATGACCCTATCCTCCAAAGCACTTGCAACCCTTCCCAGCTTGGTATCATCTGCAAAATTAATCATCATACACTATACGCCATCAGCTAAATCATCGATGAAGATATTGAACAGAACCAGTCCCAAAACAGACCCTTGTGGAACCCCACTTGTTATGCCCTGCATAACTGATGTCCTTCAAAATGGAGACCCTACAATCCAATCACTACAATGAAAAATAATGAGGCAACTAACTTGCAGGCAGGCTGACATCTGTAAGATGCTTCAAAAAGTTTCTACAGCTTGTGCCACTAGTCCAACACCATCAACATTGACAGCAGAAGTTGTTGATATTGATGATCCAAAGGCAGTAAATAACAGTATTGTATACAGTAATAGTAAAAAAGATGTAATGTTAAGTATGATTATTTCATTTTTTCAACATTTTGGAGTTCAGAAAAATAACTGGCACATTTAATTAACCAGCAACCCCCAGTCTTCATTCATGTCAGATAGCAAAGCTTGTGCTGTATCTATTTCACTTGAGCTAGTGAATAAACAACTTTCTAACACTGATATCTTTTGTTAGATTCTAAATGACTTGTTGTCTCTAAGGAAGATTAAGTCCATAGTAAATTGAACAACAAGTTTTGGTTTTGTAAGTGCACAAAACAATTACCTGTAAATGTATTAAATTATCAAAAATACTATCCTCTTGGATAAATGACCCCCACGCCCCCCCAAAAAAACAGTGGAATTTCAACAAACCTTCACCCAAGATCACCTTTATGCTGAGTAACAGCTAGAGAACTTACCGTAATTATACGGAAATTTCTCAAAAGCTTTGGGGTTTTTACAGGCCTATAATAGAAATGTCTACTCTATTCTCGTCATCATCAGTTCATGAAAGAAATTTCTGTCAGCATATTTGTAGATCTTATTTTAATGCTGGCATTACAAGGTGTACTGTTATTTCCTTTGTAGAAGAGTATTTAGACAACAATGATTTAATGCAAGCACTTGCAATGTGAGCTTATCCCCAATGCAACAGAAATTGTGTCAAAGCTCCAGAAATCCAGTCTTTGTTAGCTGAGTTGTGGGAATAATATACACTATGTACTTCTACACTTGAAAAAGTGTATCAAGAAGAGCACTACACTTAATTAGCACTGAACAAAATAAACTATTTAATCTATTAAACCTTTTAGAGCCTATTCCTTTTATATAAATATACAGGAATCTGTAATTGTCCAGTTGGTCCACCTAGATCAATGCCTTGGAAATATATTTTGTAATATCTATATTATAAAGTCAACATAAATATTCCTGCCCTTCCCAATGGCTCCTGAAAAACACCATCTAAATGGCATCAATTGTCTTCTCTAATGACAATTTCTGCAAACATTCTTAACAGGTTATTCTCTTACCGAATACTGCAATTCAGACTTGCTGGGCCTCCCTCTAAAGCAACTGAAACTGAACCCTGCAAGAGACAGGATATTGCAGTGGATGGATCACCAGAGTAATCCATTTTGGTAACTCCCAGGATCCTTAACCACAGCTACCTCAAAGGAATTCTATTTTTATTTCCCTTTTCTTAATTTTAATAAATGTCTCTGAAATAGTTTGTATATAAACAAGCCAAATAAGTTTATACCTTTTAGTGCAGTAGTTTTTTCTTTTTCATCCGGGCCTCCTTGTTGGAGCTGTGCCATGTTTATCCAAATTGTCAGCAAAATTAAAGTGATGAAGGAAAAGGACATCAATCTTCATAGGATGAGCTAAAAATCAATCATTGAAGTTAGAAACTAGCCAGTTCATTGATTTCTACTTCAGCAACTATCACATGTAGATAATTTATTAAATTGTGTGTGATTGTGTGTGTGTAAATAATTATAATTTAATGGTATGCATAATTTCAAAAGTAAATTTTCTGCTAGAAAGGAAATTAAATAAATGTGATATACTAGTCACAAAAAACAAGTTAGGGTTGATTTTTAGCTTTACTTTTAAAAAAACCACCAATGCATTTACTAATCCATTAACAGCAATACAATGCTTAAAATATAACTACCTCATACAAATTAAGAAAAATAGTGTGGTCCCTTTATAAATCTCCTGCAATAACTGGTGAAGCATTCCATTTCACAGTGGTATTCCATTCAAGCCATTCCAACATAGGTTAGAAGAATCAACCTGTTGCTCTTCCAGATTGCATATGGTTTACAATGACTGAAGATCAATGTAAGAAATAGAAGACAAACTAGAAGTGCAAATGACCAACAGCAACCCACAATCCAATTAGAATATTCCCACATTTAACTGCAATTGCCATTTACTGTCCTTGCTATATCACATGGGATTAGGTTTCACTAAATGTACATACAGTGACTACAGTTATATTACAGAAGCACAGTTTAGAGATTGAAGGGTTGTGTACAGAAAAACACTCAGGAAAAAAAAAATCAATCTAAACTAACTAAAAGGTATGAATCCTAAGTGGACTTAATTAAACCACATTAAGCCCCAATGTGCACACCCTTCTTCAAAATTAAGAGTGGCCTTACTTCAGTGAATTCCAAATTAAGGCCACTTTAATTAGGAATAGGTTCACATGGGGCTTAATGTGGTGTAACCAATCCATTTTAAATTCACATCCTTAGTTAATTCAGATTCATTTTCCTGAGTATCCCCATGAAGATTTCACAAACCTGCTAACTGCATCACTCATCACAATATAATTGGCATTATGTTGCCACTGCTTACATGACAAGAGTAACAGCAGTTTGCCTATTGTTCTCTTCATTCTATTACATTTTTACCTCCAAAGTCTTCTTAGATGTGGCACAGCTGGTATATCCAAATTGAGATAATCAATTCCCTATTTTTCTTAATAAAAATTCAGAATTCTAAGTCTGCATAACCAAACGTAAACACTATTGAAAAATACAGCCAAGTAGTTGTTTGATATATTTGATATACATTAATATGTGCACTTGACATAGTTTATGTGGCATTAGTTTTCTGATGGGAGTTAAGTCACAGAGAATAAAGTGGCAGAAGGTTTTCTTGATGTGGATTGGGACACAGAACTGACACATTGTATAGCTCTTGATAACCACTACTGTTTAAATATGGGTTTGCAAGAAATGTTTTTAATCTATTATAACTATCTTTATGCAATTTTGTTCCGTCAACTACATCAAGCAATTATCATATCCTCTTGCATTCTACAATCCCAAAAGAGAATCCACTATGTATTAATAAAACTATAACTTGTCAAGTATAATCTTTATTGAGTCAGCATTTCAAAACAAAGAACACTGGAATATTTTTTGTATACACTCTTAACTCAGTATCTAGAAATGATAAAGAACACGTGTCCAGTCAAAGTATTTGTTTAGCATATGAGATCATTAGCAGAAAAAGATAAATTACATTTTTCCATTTTCAAGAGAGGACTTTCAACACTCAACACTGTGACCTATTTCTAGCCACATGAATTTGACACCAGGGAAAACATCAACATAGCAATTCAGCTTTATTTTTTAAAATAAAGGACTATGGGAGCACTGAACCTCACTGTGCCCTCAAGCTTTTCGGATTCTTGGTTACAGATTTCAATCACGCCATCTATCTGATTTCTCCTTCTCCACAATACCCATTATCATGGCTGTGTTTGCTACAAAAATGTGGTTCATGCAATTTGGAACCTTTTCCAATATAGGTTTGTTAATCTTCCTCCCAGAGACTAATATATCAGACATGATACTACTCCTGACTCTCTCAGACTTAAATCTGCAAGCAGGAAAGCCAAGATAATTTCCTCTCAGTTTTGGTAGTTTACTATGATACTAACTAGTTAAAAGCAATATTTCATATGTAAGCAAATGTTGGAAAGTTAAATGAGTTAGTTTTATTTAAACAATATAAAAACTGCTGTATGTTCTAAACAGATTTAGAATAATATGAACAAGGATGCCTTTATGGTCTCAAAGAAAAAGTAGCATCTAGTAGACTTTTTTTTTCTTGTGACCCAGTTGAAGAAAATTGTTGATGCCCATGACCCAACATAATTTGACTAGAATGTGGGCTCCGGGATGGGGCTGAGCACGAGAGCTTTAGGATTATAAGGGGGCTCTGGCTTTGCAGAGAGGTGGTCAGGACTGGAGCAGAAAGGACCTAACTTGAGCAGTTTCCAGTCAGTGGTGTAGCAGAGGTGCTAAGGCAGGCTTCCTGCCTCTCCTGGCACCGCAGACCATGCTGCACCCCAAAAGCCACTAGCAGCAGATTCCCAACTGATGGGAATGAGGAGCAACTGCTCAGGGCAGGAGCAATGTGCAGACCCTGTGTGCTTTTTCCACCCCTCACCTAGAAGCTGGACCTATTGCTGGATGCATCTCATGTCACCTGATCACCCTGAGGCAAGAAGGAGAATTAGTGCCTGATTTTCCATGACCCAGTATTGGGTCACGACCCTTAGTCTGAAAACCACTGATCTAGATAATATGTTGTATCCTCTGGTTTAATGTATGTGTATTGGCGGGAGGATGAGGACGAGTTATTTGCAGCAACATCAAAGGTTGCTGTTTGTCAGCTAAGGAGTACACAAATTCCAAAAACTGACATTAAGTCCAGTAAGTTATTAAGTAAGAATGATTCATGGGAGATCACCATTCTTTTTTCTGATACATCCCTAAGTTTGAGCAGTCTAATGTAAAATCCTGTTTAACTGGTTAACGGGTTAAACATATTGGTTAGCCAATTAAAGAGGAAGGGGGCTGGACTGTAGCAGTCCCCCACCTCCCCGCAAGCAGGAACAGGCTGTTTGCAGCAGGCTAGCCCCCGCCAATTAACCTTAACCAATAAGCTTTATCCGTAACAGGTGAGGCTTGCCAGTTAACCAGTCACATCCCTACTCAAAATTGACTATAGTGCAATGACAGCACCCTTTCAGTGCCTCTAAAAACTTTAACGGTTCCCCGCAATTCACCACTCCTTTTATGCAGGACGCAACTCAGATTCTGCACTTCTCCAGTTCTGACACATTTCAACATGATTAATCAAAACAAGACTAACAAAATCTACATATTCTAGCAAACTTGCATACTTACTACATAAATGTAATGTTGCAAAGATAACAGCAACTTAGATAATCACTAACAATAATAAAACTAGGTACAGACATTTACACATTTCCTGAAACATACATCTTACCCAACCAAAAAAATTTAAAGGATGAAATGCCTACAACATATAGAAAGTCTGGTCTCAGTTTTGCAATGTTTCCAAATAGACTATTTAAGCGAGAGTTCATTGAATATAAATTCCTGACAATTATTATGTGTATTTGTAGCAAAACAACTGTGATACCACATTGTAAGTAAATACAATTATGGCATTTATGGAAAAAGTCATTTTAATGAACATCTAAGAAGTATTAGAACCAGAACACTTGATCAATGAAACATATTTCAAAGAAACTACATTAGGCACTACAGCATGTGGTGTGGTGTCTGAAATAGTTTATACCTCCCAGGTCTCACCTAAATAAAAATTTACAATCCTATTTTAACAAAAGTTAGTTAAAACAATTACAGTGTGTAGACAAGTATCTGAAGACTTGTTACTGGTCAGGAAAAAAAATTGTCACCTTTGAACATGTAATGAGATTAAATCAAAAAACAAATAGATCAATGAAAAGCCAACACTAGGGTAATGTCATATACAAAGGTTAGGTAAAATATGGGACTCTGAGTACTCTGCTCCTACAGATTAAGACTGGATTCATCTACTAGGTGAGGAGCCTGCTACTGAGCAAAGAATAGAAATCACCTGCCAACCTGTTTTGAATTCTGCTTTGGAAAAAAGACCATTTGCTGATTTTTCCAATTTTAAAAAAAAATAGTATCAGCTACTGCAGAGAGGAGTGATATTAGAATGAAGATAAAACAAACAGTATTTTATGCATTGTTTTGGCTGAACATAGCATTCTGTTGAATTCTTCATTGATACGTGTTTAAATGAAAAATGTGGGAAATTAGAAGAGAGGGTTATAGTTCCTTTCTTTGAAAAACAGATGTTGATTCAACTAGAGTTTGTTGCTGTGCAAATGAATAGTGGGAAAATTATAAAGCCATCTGAATGATTATTTATAGGCAAATGCAGGAATTGCAGGCTATTCTAGGTTTGAGTTTCAAGCCTAGGCTTATAGGTTAATCTTGTCAATTACACACATCCCACCCTCCTTCCCCACTGCCTTTGTATGAGAAGCAGCAAGGGTGGGAAGCTGGAGCCCATGGCCGATTCTTCTGCCTGCTCCCCTCTTCCCCCCACTGCATCTGTAGGAGGCAGGCGGGTCTATGGAGCCAGCATGTATGGGGAACCTGCTTGAAAATAGCTCTCCAAGAGCATCAGATCCACCGGCTCCCCTCCCCCACCCACACACACACATGCATTACTGCCTGATAGAGGGGCAGCAGCGCAGAGGGTGAGGGAGGGCAGGTTGTAGAGGATACGTGCAAGGAGCTGCTTTCAAACAGGCTCCCAGTGCATGCTGCCTCTTTGTAACCACTTGCTCCCCACAGAGACAGCAGGGAGGGGCGGATGCTGAGGCAAGCAGGAGCCAGTTCCCCCCAGCACCAGCTCCGTAGTGCCACCTTCCCCCTCTCCACACTGCTGCCTCTATCAGAGGGCAGGTGGTTCCCCGGGAGTGGATCCATGAGAGCACTGGCTGCCAGCTCTGCTCCTGGGGACTGTCAAATAGACATGTAACTGCTAA